GTCCTGGAGGAAGTGCAGCCAGAATGCTCCTTGGAGGTGAGAATGGCCAGACTTTGTCTCACCTACTTTGGTCATGTTGTCAGAACGGACCATTCCCTGGAGAAGGATGTTGTGCTTGGTAAGGTGGCAGGTCAAAAAAAGAGGGGAAGGCCTTCAACGAGATAGACTGACACAATGGCAGTGGTGATGGGGGTCAAGTATAGCAAGAATCATGGAGCTGGCTCACGACCGGGTTGTGTTTCGTTCTGCTGTGCATAGGGTCGCTATGAGTCAGAGACAACTCGACGGCACCTAACAACAACAACAATCCAAAATAATATTTCAATATATAATCAATAGAAAAGCCATTGCTGTGGAGTCAGATCCCACCATAGCGACCCCTCCATGGGTTTCCAAGGCAGTATCACTACAGAAGTAGATTGCCCAACCTTCCTTCTGAGGAGTTGCTGGTGGGTTTGAACCGCCAGCCTTCTGGCTAGCAGCCAAATGCCTTAGGCACTATGCCACCAGAGCTCCCTAATAAATAGAAAAACAATTTTTTAAATGAAATTACGTTACATTCTTTTTTATTGTACTTAAGTCTCTGAAATCTCATGTATATTTTTCACTTAAGGCACACTTTGATATGAGCTATCTATACTTTCAGTGGTCAGGGGCCATCTGTGGCTAGTGCTACCTTGTCAGAGGAAAGCACAGCTTTAGAATGTCTAGCACTGGCTTAGCGCACATTCAGTCCAATTCTTGAGTCTCTTCATGTCCAGCTTTGGGCAAAATGAATGTCAAAAACATGATGAGACAAACAATACAAAGGCTAACACAGGAAAATGCCACATGTAATAGATGGTGAAACAGGCAAGTAGAAACAATCAATTTTATTAAGATGTCAACGAGTAGAAATACATACTCTCGAAAGCAGAGATCTACTGAAGGATCAAAACAGAACCCAAGACACATCTGATCTCACAAAGTGAAACCAAATGCTCCAAAACGTTGGAGTAACAAAGGCATATTTATGAAATAAAATCAAGAACTAAAGGGACAACATTCTGATAGGAAGTTGCGTGATTGGGAAGCCAGAAGTAGGACAACTTGAAGCAGAGGGGCTTTACAATGATTGGCTGGCAGCGTGAATGTGAGCTATTTTCATTTGTTTAAACATGTGACTAGGGGTGTGTATGTGTGACAGGGTGGTCATAAGGTAATTAAAGTATTTCCTGCTGAGGGAATTTCTGATAAGGGTCTTGTATCAAGACCTTCCCTTAGGAACATGCTTTCCATATCTTCAGTTTAACCACAGAAAAAACTTTCCTCTGTTTTGTATGTAAGTCTGTCTAAGGTCTGACAGTTGAGATGAAATCTTTTGTTATGTACCTAAGTCTTTCTAAGGGTTTGACAGTTACAAAGGAAATAAGCAAAAGCTAAGATGCTGGTTACTATTAGGAGTTCTGGTAGCATAGTGCCTGAGGCACTTGACTGCTAACCAGAAGGCTGGAGGTTCAAACGCACCAGCCACTCCTCAGAAGGAAGGTTGGGCAATCTACTTCAGTAGTGATACTGCCTCCGAAACCCAAGGAGACTCGATGGCACGTAACAACAACAAGAAGATGGAGTTGGAGCTCACATGGGCCGATCTCTAATATGTCAAGCACCTCTATTTTGGAACTCGCACACAAAGGGAAGTACTTTTGTCTGCAGTTATTATTGAAAGAGTCTCAAACATTCAGTTTAATGAAGCGGGATGCTATTACATTGGAGAGAAGGCTAAAAGTTCATCCTCTAGGAGATGTTAAGGTGACCAGAAAGGAAGGGCAATATTCTGTCTTCCCTCCCACTTTCCCAGACCCCAGGAACTGAGATAGCATTTTACATATTCTGCTCTGTAAAAAAAAATCACTTTAGCAGAACCTAGGGCCCTTGCAATAAGGGAGAGACTTTTTTTTTTCCCTTTTTTTTGAGTCTCTGGTCACTTACCATAGTATACATAACTGGGTTATCTGTAAACTAGGGTTTTGTAAGACATAGTAGTAATTGTGTTGTTCAAATTAAATGTCTCTGACCTTGATGCATTTTGTTGTTGTGTTGTTAGGTGCTGTGGGGTTGGTTCTGACTCATAGAGACCCTGTATACAACAGAATGAAACACTGCCTGGTCCTGTGCCATCCTCATAATTGTTGCTATGTTTGAGTCCACTGTTACAGCCACTGGGTGAATCCAAGTTGTTGAAAGTCTTTTTTTCACTAACCCTGTACTTTCCCAAGCATAATGTCCTTCTTCAGGGACTTTTCCAAGCATAATGTCCTTGTTGATAACATGTCCCAAAAGTAGGAGACAAAGTTTCACCATCTTCTCTTCTAAGGAGCATTTTGGCTGTACTTCTTCCAAGATAGACTTATTTGTTCTTCTGCCAGTCTATGGTATATTTAATATTTTTTGTCAACACCTTAATTCAAAGGCACCAATTCTTCTTTGGTCTTCCTTATTCATCGTCCAGCTTACACATGCATGAGGTGATTGAAAATACTGTGGCTTAGGTTAGGCCCACCTTAGTCTTCAAAGTGACATCTTTGTTCTTCAGCACTTTAAAGAGGCTTTTGCTGAAGATTTGCCCAATGCAATACATTATTTGATTTCTTGACTGCTATTTCTATGCACATTGATTGTGGATCCAAGTAAAATGGAATTCTTGACAACTTCAGTCTTTTCTCAGTTTATCATAATGTTGTTTACTCATCCAGGTGTAAGAATGTTTGTTTTCTACATGATAAAGTGTAATTTATAATCTAAACTGATGGCTGTAGTCTTTGATCTTCATCAGTAAGTGCTTCAAGTTCTTTGTTTTCAGCAAGCAAGGCTGTATAATCTGCATATTGCAGATTGTTAATAAATCTTCCTTCAATCCTGATGTCCCATTCACCTTTATATAGTCTAGCTTCTTGGATTATTTGCTCAGCATATAAGTAACTATAGTGAAAGGATCCAACCCTGAAGCACATCTTTCCTGATTTTAAACCATTCATTATCTCCTTGTTCTGTAATGACTCTCTTTTGGTCTACACATTCCACATGACAATTGTCCAAAAATGATAAAAATCTAAAAATGAAAAAAAAAAAAATCTAAAAATGACCATAATAGTCTTTCCTAGTATGAGTATGATAGATGTTTGGTGCTGGATATACAAAACTGGAAGGATTTAGGCAGAGTAAATGGTGAAAAAAACAAAGGGGATTATGGTGAGGGGGTCATGGTAAAGGGATGTGTAGAGGAAGGAA